TTTTTTGTCTACTTAAAATGTAAGGGTCAAAACTACTCGAATCAGAAATATAACTTATTAATATTCGGTACTTTTACAATGAACATCCAACATTCGTTCTATTTTAATGACCATGGCAATGCTGTGTAGATGTTGAACGCATCATTGCGCGGGGCTTCAGCATGCTTCAAAATTGAAACACATTAAATTGATGTTACAGAAGTTTGAATATCTCTTCATTATTTCTTTTGTTCTACAAAACCTTGAATTATTTTGAAGGCGTGTGCGCGGTGATTCGAATACAGTATTTGAGCACAGTAGCTACGTGCTTATCTTTGGACACGAAGAAAAAGTATTCAAGATTAGTCGTTACTCAGCTGCTTTTTGCTCTTTGTTTACATTTGTTTCACTCTGAGAGGATCATAAGATATTCGACATAAAAATCGTGGACATATATTCTTTTCCCTCTAAAATCTCTAAAGCTATAAAAGCTCATATGGCGTCTTCTTCACCGATTATGCTGAAATAAAAGCTGTTGAAAGTGGATTTACCTTTCTACGTCGTTCAACACTGTTATAGAGCATTCAACAAAGTCGAATTCATGTTGAAGCAAATGTTAAAAACGTTTGCATCGGTTTTTACATCACTAGATAGAATGGCATTAATAAATCAGATAATAATTATAAAGATCAGAGATACAAAGATGACCGATAGCAGCTCAGTTGTAAAATTGTATCTAATTCAATTTATTAAACTCTTAATATTTTAACATTATTACTCGAAAAGCCCCTCAAGGTCACAGAGCTATTGCAGTTCTCAATAAAGCTTGCGAGGATTATGATTTATTTATCAAAGAATCATTAAACTTTATGACCAGTTCTCCGTGTGTTTGCCTATAATCTTATGTCTCAAATATCATGGTCAAAATTGAGCTTCTCAAAATTGCTGGTAAGTTTTTGGTCCTGCGCAGACACATTCTCTACGTCGTAATGTCCAATAATCGATCTAAGGGTAAATTGCTTTAATAATATTCGATATTTTCTTCATATTATTGATTTTCAATCATTTTCCAACACTTTCATGTATAATATTGTTGTGATGACAATTAACAAAACCTTTTGTACTAACCACTTGTCGTGTCATATGAGAGATTACTTTATACAACTTTTCAGTAAAATCAGACGTTTTGATTGGTTGKHTTTCGTGTGTTATCAAAGTATAGATACACGGATTACGTCAAAACTAATTGTTTGTTGTATAAAACAGATAGATCTCATTTTTCCGTGCGTGTGTACTCTAATAGATACACAGATGACGTCAAAATGTAGTGAGAACAACAGTCACGCACTCGACTGCGTCTCGTGCGTACTTTTTTGTTCTCACTACATTTTGACGTCATCTGTGTATCTATTAGAGTACACACGCACGGAAAAATGAGATCTAT